TTTTCCTCTTTTTGTCATCTGTGTCTTTTGATTTCCCTTTTGTTGCCTTTTTGTCCAGTTCTTTTATTCTCTTCTTCATCTTCTTAACTTTCTTTCCAATGCTCTTGTTACTATCATCTGCTAAATTGAATTTTTAAAGTATTGTTAAACTAATATGTAATGTTATTTACTTGCATTTCTTCAATCAAGTACTGGCTATTGACCACACTATTTTTGTGGTCACCCTGATTATAGAAGTTTGAAAAACTGATGACCTGAACTTCCAAATGATGAGGACATTCTTTAATGTATACCAAAGTCAAATAATATTCCAATATTGGGAACAAATCTTAATATTTTCTGTGTACATCTACTTGTAACTATCCAATTATAATTGTGGAGCACATCTATTTTTCACTCTTTTTAAACAAGATGAAAAATGGGTCATTAACACCATTTTAGTGTACAATTTTATTAATTTAATTTAGTATACAAACTTTCCTGGTTACTTTACTTTCAGTAGTAATAGTGTTGTTTGCATTACTCTAAAGCATTCAAGCTAGATACGAGGTGAAAAGCACTTGCAAGGCTAGAACAAAAACCAATCAAACATACCTCTGGTCTCAATGGTGGAATTAAGATCTTTGTCAGTTTGTAAAGGGCCAGTTCCTTTGAATGACACCTGGAAGGAAATAGGAGAAGAGTGGAAGCATCTCTGGCTCAAAGAATCATTGATTACAGAAATAGATTATCTTCATTTGTCTTTCTCTAGGAGAATTTAACGTCCAAGTTTTGTCTAACAAATGGGAAGTTAAGACTTCTCAGCATTTCTTTCAGTTCCTTAATTCTATTTTAATATTAAAATAAAATATCTTTGAAATGATACAATACTACAACTGATAAGGATACTTAAGTGAGAAAAACACCCCTTTATTCCTAATTCAATGAAACAAGTGTAAATCTGGACTAACAGTGACAATGGCTGAGCCCCTACCAAGGAAAACAGAGTATGCTTCCACTGCTTCAACTCAGTTCTAGTCTGACTGGCAAAGAATGTTCAAACATGTAGTTCATTTTAGAGTGTTGCCCAACATACAGTGATTGATGAAAACTGAATATTGCTCACAAGATAACAAAGTTCTCCGAATGGCATTATCAAATAATCTGCAGTTTTTGATTGCAAAAAAAGAAACATGAGGTTTGAACCTAATTCAAGGGTTAAAAATAACACACACCAATACTTGAATTGGTTAATTGATTCAATACCTTTTCTACTAGCCGCAGCACCTCTCCAGGAGGTTTAATAGCCTCTGTTGGAAATACTGTCCTGTTTTCCTGTGTCTCCAGGGAAAAGAACAATGGCTGCATCTGGCTACTCCCAAGCCAGTCATACACCTCCTACAAGTAGTTAATAAAAAATTGCATAATATGAGCTACATGAGGGGATGTGCAGCAGCACTTTTTAAAAGCAAATTTCCTTTCTCATGTTGTGGTGCTATTATAACTCTTATAATTTCATAAAATATCAAAACATTTGGATTATTGTGTACATTATTTTAAAGCTGTATTTGCTTTCAAGGGTATCATGCATACTTACTTGATAGCAACCTCCTCTGTGAAACGTTCTTTTGAACAAACCACTGGGCGTGTAAACTTTAATCTTTACACCATTTTTTGGTCCTTTTCTCATCCGATTTTCTCGCAAATTGCGTATTTCTTTGGCCTGTGTCAGAAACATTTGTTTTCCATTCATTAAATCTTAAGAGCTACTTGTATCTTATAAAAAAAGACAACATAATGATAGAAAATGTATACCTTTGAAATATTTTATCTATTTCTTCTTATAATTATGTTTTTCCAGATCTCATTGAGCATGTTTGCTGGCTGTGAGAGTTGAAATGTATGTATAACCCCATTTAAGTAAGCTGCAAAAGGGTTTGCATCATATGAAAGAGCATTTTAAAACAACACAAATACAGTCTTAATTATTTCAGATATGAAGCACTTACCATATCATTTTTGGGGAGGCTTAATTCTCTGTCTTGTCTTTCTGTAGGTTGAAATGTTGGCCTTGCTGCACCTTGTTGTTGGTTCTTCTTTTTCATCATTTGAAAGAATGCAAATGTGTTCATTGGTACGCTGGGATTTGTATCATTTTATTTTAATGAATTTCCTCAAATGATTTGTAATGGTTGATGCAATCAAATTCTAAATTACCATTCAATCCTTTTTCCCTTCTTGCTGACTAGTTTGGTGCATATAATTATCAAAAAAACATTTAACCTGTATGAAAATAAAGGCTGTATCAACCACTGTGATAATGAAGGTTAAGGCAGAAGAAGGCTAAAGAAATCTCCTTGTTTTAAGGTAAAAATCTGTTGAAATAACCATACTTTAGAAGCATCTGCTTCCTGAGCTGCATGGAACACCTCATCTTGTTCAATCTGCAAAGCTCGTGATTCCAAAATCTTCCTCCTAGCAGTAATCAAATATGTTTAGAGACAATTGACACATTATAGGGTAAAACAAGATAATCTTAAATAAATGCAAATTGGACACTGTAAAGAGTTTCTACGCTTGCCTTTTGAGTGTTAGCCCTTCATCAGAGTGACAGGTATAGTTGATTTCAGGAATTAACAGTTTTTTCTGCAATGCAAGCGTGGTTTAATTTATTTGATTACAACTTGATCCAAGTTATGGCCATTTTTGGGCAAAATGAACATTTTTTTCAGCCTGACAATTATGCAAGCCTGGGCCATTAAAATATGTCCAGTAAGTTGCTCAGTACTGTTGACAACAATTTTTTGAGCACTATTTTGATTACATGAGGTCTTTAATCAATTTTGTCCATGTATCAGACAAAATTGTACCATATTGTAATATCATGGTGCACATAAAATTAAAGCTTTGTCCAACAAGAAAGGGACTCCAGAAAGATCTATTACCAGTTGGCATGTGCAATTTCCACGGCTTCTGCTGCCCTTTGCACCGCCTCACTTATTTGGGAAAAGTCAAAAAAGCTCCCTGTAAAAATAAAAAAAAAAGTTAATTATAATAGCTTTAGCTTTGATTTTCTTGTTTTGTATGCACTATGAGGAAATACCCATACTTTTGCATCAAGAGAGTTCCTACAGTAACCTTCAAATTTTCAGTTAATGGCTGAGCCTTTTCCAGAATAGAAGTTATCTTAGAGTAAAGCAAAACTCAATTGAATTTTTTACCTGCATATCTCTCCACAGGTGTGGGTTGGCTTGACCCCCCCATGGATGGTGTACACAGAATAATCTGAGGTGCACCAAGAGTTTGGCCACCAAGTGCCTGCATGGCTAGAAACAGAAAAAAAAATCATTTAATTTCCTGCTAATGGTAAAACTAGCTTGGGATCTACACAATTTATGTAAAAGCTTAATATCATTTTTGGTGTTTGGTTACTGCATTTCCTTGAATAAGTGCCCATGCCCTAATAAATGCCCCCTCCTCTGAATAAAAAGCTACCCCCTGGGCCTAAATGTCAAATAAGTCCCCCCCTCAATTTCTTAAATTAGCAGGGATACAGGGAAAACCTGTTTTTATAGCCCATTTATTTAACCTTCAACTTCAGCAGAATCAGTAAAGAAAAGTACTTCCTTTTCCTTTACTCACTTCTATTTATTTCCATCATCATGTGCTTACAGAGTTCTTTTCTGTGCATTATCTGTTTTTATTTTTGTCCTATTTCCCTGCCCTTGGTAAATACTCTAGCCTTCCCAGGCTCAACTACACTATTCTCTATTCTACAGAGACCTGTAATTTCATTGATTATAAAGTTATTGGGATGCATTTGAAGAAAACAGTTGATAAATAATGACAGCTCAGTTGATACTGACTTAACATCTACATGAATAACAGTATAGCATTTTATTTTCTGTTTAAGATTTAGTTGAAATAAAGATACAGTTTGTTGAAAGGAGAACTTATCTCAATTAAGCACCTTCCTTCAAATAAGCACCTCCCCTTTTAGCTGATAATTTTAAATAAGCGCCCGGGCACTTGTTCAGGGAAATACTGTAGTTCATTAGTGGCCCTATATCATGTATATACCTTCTTTTCCATCTATGGAATCAATGCAAGATATCCAGAAGAGGCAATCCTCAGGAAAATCTCCATTTATGACGGCATTATTCAGGTCACTGTATAACCAAAAAATAAGAAATTTGAAATGCTTAAGGAATACATAGAGTGGGAGATGTGGTAACTGAACAGTATGTATGGGTATGGATACATATGTAGAAAATAGAGATATTGAAAAACATTCCCGATACTTATTAAAATGATAATCATAGCTACCTCAACATGTCTCTCTCTGCAGAAGAGAGAGTGTGTGTGAAGCCTTTAAAATCACAATCACCGCCATCTGAAGGCCTCTTTTAATGTGATAACAAAGCTAAAAGGAGAAAGAATATCTCATTGTGTAAAGCATACCTGCTTGAAAAAAGTCAGGAAAAGGCTGACCCTCTGTGGCCGTACAGACTGGGTACAGCAAGGTCCAAAAAGGTATACAAAAACAACTAAGGGACAATATTCCTCAGTATGGCTTGAGCTAGTGATGTTAGTAAGTAGATTAGTATATGGTTCTTGGAAAATATATGTTTACTTTGAATTTTTGCGGTTTTCGAGAAAAAGAAAATAATACAGCACAGCTTATGTCTGTTTCCGTGGAAACCCTCCACCAGAAAAAATACCAACCAAGCAAGAACCAATCAGAACCCTTGGAGTTACATCAAGACTACCACACCACATAGTAATATATGATTACAATCAATCCAAACTTCTAGCATACTGCATATTGAAAACACCTTTATAAAAATAATTATTTTCAGGTTTTGTTTACCGGTTACATTTACTAGAGCTATGGTATAATGTGAACTAGCTTACAGCTTTGAATGGGATTCCAATAAAGAAAACTCCAGGACATATATTTGCCGTATTTAAATGAAATATGGTTTGGCAAAAACCATCTGTACACAATCCTGCAAAGGTAAAAGTTAATGTCTACTTTAGAGCTCATCTGATCCCACTGCCACTCAGAGTGTTATTATATAGCTCTTACTCCCAAACCCCCATCCCCCATACAACCATATTTAGGTCAGTTTTCCATTCTATGCTCACAGTAAATAGGGGCACTATTGAAGTTAGAACTGAAGGGATTTTAAGAGAAACTATCAAATGGTTCACAATGGGTGATGTTCTTAGAATGGACATATGTATGAAGTCAAATGCAGCCATAAGCTATATATACAATGGAGATGGTAACAGTTGTGTCATGGGAAAGTAGAACAAAAAGTTTCTCAGAGCGTCATAAAATTCTCTTTAGTACAGCAACCAACCAACCAATAGCATAGAAACAGTGAAAAAAAATTTAGTCTTTTGATTGGACTCTTGAGCGCGGGAAAAAAAACCATAAAAATTTAAATGTATGGAATTTAGAACGCCATCAGTTCAAGCCACTCCCCTAAACCTCGTACGGGTAAAGGTAGATTTTTGAGGAATCTTTCGATTGAGTTTCAAAAGTAATCTGGGATCTGGGATTGTTTTGGGTCCGAATTCCCTTTGCGATTTTCAAAAATGACACGTACACCATCGTCTCAGCCAACCCTATTCAAAACTAAACCTATTCACGAGTCGGTCGCATTTTCCCGCGTTTCCGGTAGTTTTATTTTTTTCTTTGCGTCCTCTGATTAACTCTCGTGAATTCCTTTGATTCTCTTTTGCGAAAACTCAGAGCAGTCGAAATCCATGTTCTCTTTGTGCTTTAGTGATACCCTGATGCTGGAGCCAATTATTTTGCCGGACTGCGGGCACACGTTCTGCAAAACGTGTATTAGTAGGGTGCAACAAAACCCAACTACCAGCCATTGCCCCCTTTGTAAAAAGCCTTTATGGAGCTCCACACAACTGAAGACAAACTTCACCCTCAAAAAGCTTGTGGAGAAGATCGAGGTAAAATGTACAGCGTGCAACGAGAGGGGGAGCATCGAAGTGGTAGCACGGCACACCTGCCCCGATGCCCTCATATCCTGTTCGAATAGGGGCTGCCAGCGCAGTATTAAAAGAAAGGATGAGCCGACCCATAAGGAGGAATGTCTCTACGCAGTCATCTCATGTGAACAATGCCACCAGAATACCACCGTGGCCAACAAGGAACTTCATCTTGAAAAGACTTGCATAAGGGGAGAAATCCGTTGCCCTCTAAAATGCAGGAAGCGTCCGAGAAGGTGTGGTCACAAAGCGTTGTACATTATTATTTCAAACTTAAAATGAAATTCTCTTTACGTACGTAAAAGAAAGCATCTGGTGTGGGTATGCAGTTTCTTATATTAGGTCTTTTATATTTGATTTTTTAAGCCCATGTAGACCATACTAGCATGTAAGACTTTTAAAATTGTCACTGAGTTCAAGGTTTTCTTCATCTTTCCCAAGTGTACTCAAAGCTTACTGTAAATAATTTTTATAGAAATATCATCTTTAAATATATAAATCTCGTGAACTTTGGAAAGCTTCCCTTCAATTTGTTCCTCCGTCCAAGATTAAAATTGATCCAAAATTAGCCCCAAAAATTTACTTTGCGACTCAAACGCAGTGTTATTGGGAAAATATCCACGACTTGGCTTGTCTTATTATAATCCTTGTCACTTTCAAGAATCAACAGCAAATAATGAAATAAACAAATACAAAATATGAGTTGAGCTGAACAGATGCGAGTTCTTTTCCTCATTAGTAGATACATTCATGTAGCTTTAACCTTTTGTTTACTCTTAGGATGGAGTTGCAAACCCATCTGCTTGTCTGCGAGGAGAGGCAGCGACAATGTAGAGTCAATGGATGCCATTTTGCTGGGAATTTTAAGGAGATGGAGCAACATAACAAGGAGCAAGCAGAAAAGCACGTGTCACTGCTGACAGAGATGGGTGAAAAGCTCTTAGACGTATTACTTAAAAAGGTAAGGCTGACCGAGGCCAATGCTCCTTAATGTTTTCCCCTTCCGATCTTTAATTGTTACTTAATAGCTAGTGTGCACGTCGCTGCGTGTCCACAGATTTTTTAACAGTTCTACAAAACTTTGAACAGATTTCTGCTTTAAAAATCATCAGTCGAGACTGAAAAAGTTGACTGAGTAGATGGTCCTCTTGTTTCATTTAGAATACGATCTCACAAGGATGATATAAAAATATACTATTTGAGGCAGATTTGGGGATGAAGTGCGGGGGAGGGGGAGTGGTCGAACATTTTTTTAAAGCTGTTCAGCTTACAATAATCCCCCAGTGAATTTTCCTTTCACTTTACTCATTATGACGCTGATTTAATTTCCAACACAACAGGACACGAATGACTTGACCAAGACAAAAATGGCACTCGGAGGTTTCTGTTGGTCCATCTTTAACTTCAAACAAATGGCAGCAGATATGCTACAAGCTCGAAACACTGCAGAACCTATGGCCAGCGGAGTTTACGAATTTGAAGAGTGTAGTTGGAGGATGCTGCTGTACGTACGTCGCACAAAGTGCAAGTTATTCTTGCAGTTGCACCGAGCCGTTCATCCTGTACGAGCTTCATTCAGGTAAATCATATCACCCCCTTGATTACGGATTGGTTACTCTTGCTAAACCCTATACCTATAAGGTTAACCTGTACAAGCTATCAACCTTCTACAAAATGAATCGGCTGAATCAAAATAACGCATGCTTAGTAACTTTAATCGGTCATATCTGAGTAGATAGCCCCAAAAACCTAAGAATTTGTAAAGGGAAATAACTAAAACTTCTTTCTCTTTGTTTTTCCTCTTTTCTGTTGTGTTGTTGGTGTTGTTGCTTTTTTTTTATGTTTTTTTTGGGTGTGTGTGTTTGTGTGTGACTGTAAATATATGAAAATCATATATGTGAACTGCGGTTAAAGAAGTGAAAATGAAAGAGAACATCGCAATAATAAATACTTCTCAAGCAGCAGTGAAAAAAAGACCTAAGTAGTGCTCATTACTGCGATGTTCGCTTTCATTTTCACTGTCTGTGTGTGTGTTGAGATAAGAAAAAAAAATTAACCTCTTAAAAATTTGTTTTAGAATTGTCATCGGGCTGGCAAACCCAGTAGTCATTGAGCTGGAGCCAGATCTTCGCCTGCGGGAAGGGGAGACCTTCGGGACTGAGGTTGCCCCGGCAAAACTGGAACGAGAGGCAGAAAAGAACTCCGGCTGGCTTTTTATGGAAATATTTATTGAAAGGTTTTCTTTTTCTTTGTAAATGTTTAGTTGTGAAGTGAAGATATGACACACTGTTACCTTAAGTTGAGTGACTGCGATGCAGTGTTCTCTCAGACTGATGTACATCAAAATGAAAGCTTTTTCTATGACCGTCCACATCGTTAGAGTGAATATTTCTGAACCAGCGAAATAGTATATTGTGAATTTTCAATGTGCACAACATTTAGTGAATAATACATTGTTGTGGCAGAATGGCTGTGGAATCTTTTGGTTTGGTTTCATCTTACTTTACAAGTTTCCTTGCTCTTAAACTTCCCTTTACGAAAAAATATCTACCACTGTAAACTTTCTTTTTCCTTCAAATGTTGCTGATTTTCTCTATAAGGTGGCTTTCCGGTTCTACTAGCATGTTATTAAAGCACGAGCTGATTATTGTCGTATGTTGTAGCGTTAAAACATTCATGAAAAGTTTGTTATACCTTTTCCAGAGATACTTTCATTTGGAGAATCCGTCAGATATTGTACGATAACTTAACAAACTGTGATGATAGTGTCAAAATTTTTCCAAAATCGCCATGAATACCAAAACAGGGCTTTGTTCATTTATTGCGAGGAAGTAGAGAAATGCTTCCTTAATTTGGTCTTAATCAATACCCTTATGCTAATGGTACATTTCTTAATTGTACAATATACACGAAGTTAAAGGAGAAGACTAACTGCAGTCTTTTTTATTGATGTACAGTTTTTATTACCTATCTAAAACTGTCCTAACCTTGTACCGTGAGAAGTCTGGGTAGGAGAGTACTCTGCGGTTATCAGAGTCGGCGATTGAGAAAATTATCAGGCTCCGGCAATGAGACAAATTTCGGACTCGACGATTGTAACGAATAATTTAAGGACTCGAGCATTAATATAAAGCACGGTGATAAGTCGAAATCCATTTAGATAGTAAATACAGACATGGGAAATAATATCAGACTCAGAAAATAATATCAGAGACGGGAAATAGCAGACAATGAGGAGGTCTGAAAGAGGCCAACAATAACGGACCCTGTTAATTGATTTCCGACACGAAAATTAATTTTTCGATAGGGAAAATACCCAGACTGAATTTTGAACGGTATGTTACGCCATATATTTCGACTTATCGCCGAGCCTAACAATACTTATAGCTCTCTGTTCAGGCTCTCTGTTCATGGTCCGAATTCATGGTCTGAGTTCGTGTTCTGAGTTCGTGTTCTGAGTTCGTGTTCCGAGTTCGTGTTCCGAGTTCGTGTTCCGAGTTCGTGTTCCGAGTTCGTGTTCCGAGTTCATGTTCCGAGTTGAGGTTCTGAGTTCATGTTCCGAGTTGACGTTCCGCGTCCGGTATCCAGTTACCTCGCCACCAAGCAGACTCGCCACCAGCGAACTCGCCACCAAGGAACGATCTCGCCACCAACGTACTCGCCACCAAGCGAAGTCTTCTCGCCACCAACCACCAATAAAGAGATTAGTCGAGGAGAGTAGGATGTTCGGCTGATAAGTTTGTTCGTTTGTCTGTACTCAAACTTTATAAACGTATGTTGTCGAAAGCACGTTCGAAACCGATAAGTTTGTTCGCTTGTCTGTACTCAAACTTTATAAACGTATGTTGTCGATAGCACGTTCAAAACTGAAGGTGTTGTTCAACAACATTTCGTTCGTATCTCGTAGTGTAAAGGCAAACTATTTCATCCAAACACAAGTCGAAATGTTGGAAATGTAATGATCATTTTTCTCACCATTTAAACCCAAGGCGATGTGCGAAAATATGTTAATTTGAGGTGAGACTAAATTCAAACAAACAAACAAACAAATGTTGTGTTAATTAACGATCCTCCAATCAAATTCCTTGCTTTCTTCGAAGTGAAAATTTGGATCCTAGGGGTGTGTATAAAAGGAAAGTAAAGCCGTACCTACAAGTACATTAGAAAACTCATGGCGCTGCCCTTCCTGCCGGAGGCCGAGATTACGCCGATGTTTCAGCGGCTCAGAGACCGCGCCACTACCACTGCTCTGGAAGCACTTGCCTTGTACGTAGAGGAGAACTGGATTACCAGCACAATGTGGCCTCAATCCTGTTGGTCTGTCTTCATGCTGCCGATCCGCACTAACAACGACATAGAGGCGTGGCACCACGGTCTTAACAGTAGAGCCAACAACAGAGTCCACTTGCCATTCTACCTGCTGGTGGAGCTGCTACACCAGGAGGCCAGACTTGTCTCCATTCAGATAAGGCTAGTGTCAGACGGGAAGCTGTCCAGGATTCAGCGGAAGAAGTACCGGCTGCTTCAATCTAAAATCTTCAAGCACTGGGAAGACTTTAACGGCAACGAGACTTCTGCCCGCTGCCTTCTCAAACTCTGCAGTTACCTGAACGGCCCGGCGACCAGAACCTGAAGCAGAACCTGGAACATCAAAAAACGGCTCTTTTAGGAGCCACCGCGCCCTGGTTGCGTCTTTAGGACGTTTCCAGGTCGCTCTTTTAGGAGCCGCCACATCTGCAAAAGTCATGATCAACATATGAGCTGCTCTTCTAGATTTAATTTTCAATAAAGTTTGTTGTTATTTTGCAGCGGGGAAACTGGGTAATATAATTCGACCGAATATTGAATAAGTTCCCTTGACAACATCACAGACGTCCAAATTTGCATACAGATAAGTAAACAAACTCGTGAGTCGATTCGTTCGAACTTATAACATCACAGACGTCGAAATTTTCATACAAATAAGCAAACAAACTCAGGAATCGATTGGTTCGAACTGTTAACTCTCCCTGGGAAACAACTGTAGTTGCCTTAGGAAAGCTTCAGTCCATCGAAGTTTACAATTTCTCGCACCGACTTGACAATTTCTCGCATCTAGTTTTAATACAACTGCTATCGAGTTTCATTTCATCACTCATTTCTTCCCATGAAGTTTCATTTTCTCTCAAGTAAGTTTTTATTCCTCGCATCGAGTTTTGGAATTTCTCCTCGCTTATGTGCAAAAGACAAACACGAAACGTTTCGATGTCAATGAGTTAGAAACGGAACACATCTAACACGTCGCTGAAGGTCATAATTTAAATACAGACAAGCGCACAAACGTATTGGCCGATTTAAATTGTGCTCGTTCGAACATCCTACTCTCCTCGACTACTTTATTGTAGTTTATCTCTTTATTGGTGGTTGGTGGCGAGAAGACTTCGCTTCTCGGTGGCGAGTACGTTGGTGGCAAGATCGTTCCTTGGTGGCGAGTTCGCTGGTGGCGAGTCTCCCTGGTGGCGAGGTAACCGGCAACCCCGCGTCCATGTTGTGATCTTTAACTAAAAACCGCTTTGTTAAATCCGGGCAAAAGAAAAATAAAAAGCAAGTGCGAAGAGCTAACCAACTGAACCTGTGAATTCAAATTAAACAAACGTATCAGACAGAGCACAGTTAACTTTGACCCAGACTTTAATTGCCAAAAAAAAACAAATTTTAAAGACCGAAGTCTGTCACAAATGAAAATATGTTAATTTTTAAGGTAAGGTGGACTTAAAATTTTGTCATGTTCAGACAAAAATCCGACCTGGTCTCACCTATCGCGGAATAGGAAATTTTGTCTTGCAGATACGAAAGTCTACAGGACGCACTCTACTGAGAATAAAAAAATATAATTTTCTTTCAATGTATCGGACATTTTATTTCAGTATCGTTCATTATGAGCAGATAAAAATTATGAAAATGTCACAGATACTCCATTTGTTGTTCATTTTCATTTTCATTTCATTTCCCTTAATTTCTTTCAAGTTTTTATTTTTTTTCGAGGGGAATTTGATGTAAATAAGAGCAGTGAAGGTTTATTGAAATACATGTCGTTGTACAGAGTGAAGAGATATCATGTTTTAAAATTTTTATTAAAATAAAAACTTATTTCGCAGGTTATAAATGGTGTCTGATGATTTAGGATTCTAAGAGGACTGGGGTTACAATTCTTTGAAAACTTGTTTGATGTGTTATTGCATGGGAAAAGTTTATTACAATTATAAATTTGTAAGTATACATATTGGCAATACTTTTACTGAGATGACAAAAAGCTACAGCTGCGCGAAAGGAGCTTTCAATAACGATATTTACATTTTAAATGATGTTCAACAGCAAAATCAAACACATACGAACTTCTTCATACATTATTTACCGATTAATTATTTTCATCTCGCCCACTTAACATTTACTAACCCAGAAAACAATCAAATTTTACTATATGGCCGGCATATTTAAAGACAAGATTTTTATAAGTGCGATATGCATTAAAAAAAAACAAAAATTGCATCTTTTAATAGCCATCTACACAAAGGTAACAATCTTTTTTGTTATGAGACAAACATTAGATCCATGATAACAATTATATGTGGAGGTAAGAATGTCAAATTCGCTAATGTATTTATTGTCATTGTGAAGGTTGGTCAGGGAATAGTTAGGGATGGTGAGGGAGCATGAACCCATCCACTTCAACCTTCACGCATGGAGTGCAGTTAGAGATGAAAGAGGGGATGTTACGATACTTGGCTAGCTGTTGGGAGGATGGTTGAGGAGGGGAGGGGAAGGAGTTTTACTGTAAGCCAAAGGAATGGGACTAAGGAAAGGAAGTGGTGGGGAAGTATTGAATACAGTTATCTTTACCAGACAGATTCTTGAATCTTAATTTGTATCCATCAGCTTCCTTAATCACTTAACCTTAAACAACAGCTCTTGGTTGCTTTGTGGTTTACAACCTAAATTTTGCGATGCTTCATACCTTACTGTATTCAAATAGGTACATTTTCCAAAAAAGCAAAAGTGAATGCCGAAAGCACCAAAAAGAAATCCAGCCCTTCACTCGTAAAATCACTTCACTCCTCACAACCCCTCACTCATTCAATCCGAACCACATATGGTAGATATGGTTTCTCACGCTGATGCTCGAAATTTTTAATATAAAACGATGAAATCGTACTGAATATGCGAAACTAAGAACTATTTACAACAGATGTCTTGTTTCCTTTATTTATCAACCATGCATTGTTCCTAGAAATAAACGTAGTGGCTGACGTGAATCAGGAATTAATGGAGTTCTGAAAAATCAGATGGAAGTTCAAGGCATTGATTTGATGCTGAAGTAGAATACATTAGGTGTTTAATATGATAGCAATTAAACTTAACGATGCAATAAATGCTAGGTCTTTTCGTTAAGATTTCTGTACTTTGCATGCTTTCTTAACAGTGTATCAACCTCTAAAAGTTCTAGTAAGTCAACAAGTGTCGGTACAAGCACCTCAACATCAGCTTCCACAAGTGTGTCCACTTCGACCTCAGCAACTGTGAGCACTCCAACGACATCAGTTTCAAAGACATATTCCAGTGCAAGCACAAGTACCTGAACATCCGTATCCACTAGTGTGTCTACTTCAACCTCAACTAGTGTGAGCACTCCAACAACGTCAGTTTCCAAAACTCTTTCAAGTGCAAGCACAACTATTCAACTTCAGTGTCGACAAGTGTGTCTATTTCAACCTCAAAGTCTGTATCAACGTCGACTTCATTGAGTTTGAGTAGGTCAACAAGTGTATCAACGTCAGTTAGCACCAGCACAACCAAGTCAACATCAGTTAGTGTCAGTACTCCAACAACCACAGTTTTCTCGACATATTCCAGCGCCAGCACTAGCACCTCAACGTCAATTAGCACCACTTCAACTTCAACAAGTTTAAGCACACCCACTACATCCCTCATAATTCCACCATTCTGAATACCCGCTAAATTCCGCGTTTATGCCTTTTTACTGTTCGCTTCGACATCAAAATGTATTAAACCTGGCTCAGTGTCATTGATCGAAACTAAATTTCACTGAGGAAACTCCAATTTCGACCAAATTTTAACTTTCATATGATTCATTGAAGTCTCGACGCTTTGAAGACCTCAATATATGGATAAAAACTTCGCTTTCGCCATTCAACAAATAGGTTTTAATTCTGACTCAACAAAACCCTGCGGAATGTGTACAATTCCACATTTTCATTCAGTGGCGTGGTTTTCAGGGCGACTTTAGGTACACTTGAAAAGTGATTAAGCGCAGAGACGAAGTAACGTGCGGTATGAGAAACGTGCGAAAAAGGTGTAACTGACGAAGAAAAACGCTAACAAACCTAACAAACCTCACAAAAAAACACTAACGAGGAGGTATATAATTAGCAAGCGCTTAGATCTTATAGGATTTGTTTAATTTTTATTTCTATATTTTTATTGAGGGCTGGGCATTTTAAGTGGTACTCCTAACATTTGCAAATCATGGAAATGAAAAATAGTTACACGTACAGTGACCAGGATTTGCTTTAAACAGATGTAATTCAAGACGTTACAGTTATGATCATATTTCCGTTGTTGTTTTTTCGGTGACGTAACCCCCCTTTCAGTGATGTGAAATTTGCACGCTCTTATTTCGCGCTATATGCAAATATAGTTCCTTTGTTTCTGCTTTTTTGCTTTCACATTCAATCTTCTTCGTTATCTTGTGAGGTTGGGTTACGCTACGTAACGTTGATGAGCTTCGTTTGCCGCGTCATTGCAGCGGTAAGTTTCGTTTTCCTTCTTCGTGTACTTATCGTTCTGTGTTTTTGCTTTTCCTCGAGTTTTTGTGGCTGGTATTTCTCTATTTCTTAGTGAGTCAAGTACAATGCTCCGAAATGAAAAAACCGTAGTTTCGTGCTTCGTATCTCGATAAAGCATGCTAACACATTGATCCATTATTGTCAAATTTATCGCTCAATGATGATAAAATAATTTTCAGGTTCTGAGCTCATGCTCGCGGTTCATGTCATTAGTTCATGCTTACAGTTCAGACTCGAATTTTAAGCTCTTAGTTCATGTTCTGACTTTTAGTTCAGTTTCTCTGTTCAGGCTCCCAGTTTCAGAGCGGTTGACGGTTGACGTTTATTAGGAAGATGTATTTCTGTGCGTTAAAATTAAGCTTAAGTTTTTCTTTGTTTTCATTATAAGTAATGAATCATGTTCGGATCTCTTCAGTATTTCTCTAGCGAAAGGAAGTGGTGTGTTTTGAATGAATTACCGGTAATCGGCTCCCCGTGTTTGTGCAAAGACTTCGAAAGAAGGCGAAAACTCCCGACATGATTCAAACGTGTTTTTGGTTATGATCTTATCGAATGGTACGCAATGCCGTGTACACAAGCGAGTTATTAACGAAGTTTGCTATTTTTCAGTGAGACAGTTTTAATTTGAATATGAAATTATTTCCAAACTGTCGCTTACATAGGTGAAAATCAATGAAAACGACTATAAACCAGGAATTTTTGGAAACCTTGAGACAAGTTCACCATTTTAAAGATTCTTCTAGGCCAAAAACTTTTTTTAGCAAGCTGCTAAAATCGAGAGATTCGAAAC